GTTTGATATGTGCAATGGAATGGGATAAAATTTATTTTCTCGTCCGCCACATGTAATGTAAATTGACATATTAAGCTCGTTACATCCACCTCTCCACGCTTTTCTTCGATATTCATATTGAGGACATTGTGATAAAGAAAATAAACCCACTACGCCGTGACCGTCGCCGTTTTCAATTTGCAACTGAGACATTTAGTTTGTCACATCCTGCTCTCCAAGTGATTTCATTTGATACCCATATCGCTTGTATTATTAAGAAAATATTATTCCCCAAGGTCGTCGTGTCCACAATGTTTGTGTTAGATCTAATGCATTTTTAGGGAGATGATATGAACTTCATTCATTCACGAATTTGTGTTGGCTTGGCCAGTTTTTCCCTTTTTACAGGTAAACAAGAGTTTTTTCCGTAAAGTATATGTAGAAAATTTCAACCTTCTATCTCTTATTATTTACTTTATACGAACGTAGTTTCGTTCAATGTACCCTTCACTACGGGCTTTTGCTCTGACCATTCTGGCCTATTTTCAATGCTAACTTCCAATGTGTTTATCAAATTTGAAGTCGATATTTGCATGTTTGCAACCAGGAGAGTGTCGACAACACACTCCACACAGACGCACAAAGGGACAGACGTGACTATGTCGTTTCGGACCTACAAGTTGATCAGGAATATATACACTTTATAGCGTGTGTGCAGCTTCCTGTTGTGTGTTGCAAAGATTATAACAAAGCGAGTATACACCGCATCCATCGGTGGCGGGTATAAGTTCAAAAACATGAAAATTATTAAAGAATTTTTCACTTAAGAAGACAGAAAAAAGAAAAAGAAGAACCAATAGTGTTAGGAGTCCGACCTATAAGAGCTCGCTTTAATTTCCGTTTATTTTTACAAACTAAGCTGCAGAAACATCGCACTACTTGCAGAGAGTAGAGAAACATAACAATAACCTAACTAACCGTTTACCCCGGAATTACCTGTAAATAAACCCATAATTGTTGTTAGACAACAATGCATTTGAAGTAGACTTGCGGAGAAGCACAAACATTTAAGGCTATTTAAATGAAAGCGTACTCACGAACTGCCTTCAGCACACGATGACTATAGGAAAACATAAAACTCGCTCGTGTATATTTGTGTATATGAATGTGTATGTGTATGTGTATAAGAATGAATATCCTTTTCAGTTATATTAACTCCTACTCACTTATAAGCATACTTATACCTATATAGCCCTATACAGAAATGTTATTACGAGATGCGGCTATTGTTGCTATTTTAAAATGTTGCAAAAGAGATTAAGAGAATTGCTTAAGGTGGCAAGTTGATGTAGCATACAATTTTGTATCACACACGTATAGAGTAAATGCTACGCAGTTCCATTATAGGTATGATGAATACATACAGATACACATGAGGCAGACGTGCGAGTTCCCGGAGGCTTTTGAAACCATAACAACAAGCATTTTGTGAACGTTTACGATTTCTTAATAAATAAATAATGCGCTCTTTTAATTTTTAATATTGTTTTCACATTTCATGTCTTCTCACTGCATTCGTTCACATAGCATTGATGTCTCGAGTAACTCGAAGCTGAAGTCCGAAAAATTTAATTCCATAAGCCATGTACTTTACTTATCAAGCTTATACGGTTATCGGAAAAAATATTTTCTTCTTTTTCTTTGTATTTTACAATTTAATTATGTTTATTAATTTTTATTTTTTAATCATCTATTTTTAATAGCCATAATAGAAATTATTTAAAATTATGTACTTGCTGAGAGACGGACTCCCATTATACGCGTAATAAAATGGGTTAGCATAAAACAGAGAACCCCCATACAGTCAACAAAAAAGTAAAAAGACTACAGCTAGTCGCGGCCGACTTTTAAATACCCTATACCACTTCGTTTAACACAACTATCGAAAAAGTGGTCCGATCCGAACTATTTTTCATTTCATCAAAATATCTCAAAATCTGCTACCGTAGATTGAACACGAAATAACAAGACAGATGGACATGCGGGCAGACGAGCTTAGATCGATGCAAAATTATTATAGTAAGGGCTTGGAAGTAAGCAGATAAAGAGAAATATTCACAATACATCTTAAAAAAGGAGAGATATTTCCTACTCGCAACGAAACCCATCTCAAGCGACTAACTGCCTGAAGCCTGATTGAAGCTACTGGTTTCTCTTTCTAATTTAACATAATTATAATTATCGTAATTTTACAAAATCTTATGACGTTTGCGATTCGTTACATTACAATGACAAAAGTCGCGTGTAGATTGAGGCGGTGATGTGCCTCTGAAGATTTTATTAGTAATGTTGGAAGAATTACTTGATATGTTCGTAAGTGACAACGCCGGCAAGGCTAGCGATGGTGTCATCATGGCTGTCGTCTTTGCTGTAAAAATTTTCAACTGCGTTTTATTAACTGTTCTCGCTGATAGCGTTAGTGGAGTTTTCTTCTATTTTTTTTTTTTTTTGTATTTAAAATAGTATTTGCCTCTGTATCGGCTCCTAAAAGCTCTACATTTTGATTTAACGGCAGCTGCCGACGATGTTGATTTAGTAGAAAAGCCTTTAATTTGCTGTCGTTCGCCAATTTTCACAAAAGCCTCTATTTCGCTTTGCTTCACATTTACTACGCCGCGATACATAAACTTCAGCAGCTCAAACATGATATTGTGGGTGATACCCTTCAGAATAATTGCGGAATGCTTGCAAGGGTTTGCGATAAATATTTGTTGAAAATAAGAACTTGAAATGTCCAAAACAAGTTTATGAACTCGTAGCAATTTTTCAACGCACACCAATATTACGTCCATCAAGTAGGCTCGATCGTAAAAAGACTGAAAATTTATGTACAAAACAATTTTTGTTTGAAAAAAGAACTGGAAGAAATCTTTAAAAAGCACTTTAATGGATTCTTCATATTTTGCTGCGCGCATTATTTAGAAGAAAAACGACGGCTAAAGAAATCCTCGTTTAAAGCCCTATTAGGAACGGCCTTTAATTCCTGGGAGATCACAATACTTTACAGACTCATAAGTAGCCGCACATATGATAAACCATATTTAAAAATGATTCGTGTAATACGAAATGATAATTGCGAAGAGCGTAACACTAGCGAACCTGCTGAGCATCCCATCTTCACATGTCACAAGTTTCATAATATGAGAAGTACTCTTTCAACCTTCTCAGTTTATGCACTGGCTTCCTTGATATGTTTAACGCAAGAAATGAAAAGATGCTCGGCTTTGGAAACTAATTTGCTTTATTAAAAAAGCGAATTTATCCCTTTAACTTATGATAACTTTTAGTCAAATTTAACGCTAAATTATCTTACTTCCGCGAAAGTTTGCAACCTTATCACCTTATGTACATCTCTACAATCTACTAACATACATTCGTCTCATTTTTTTCTTAATCTGAAAAGTGAGGATGTACAAGATAAATAATTGTCACATTCTATTATCAGGGCGTATTTCTCTTCGGCTTAGCCCACTTCCACTCAACATCGGAAAAATGAAGTCCCCTGTCATCATTCCTCGGCAGCAATTTGTGAAAACTCCGCCCACCAAGAACATGAGTAAGTAGTAATTGAGCTAGAATTTTATTTTGAAAACTATGTAAGCTTAGTTGTGCAATGTTTACGAAGTATGTAGAATTCTAAACAAATTTTAGAATGTCCATAAATTAGCCACATCATGTTATCTAAAAAATGCCGCTAACACAACCATGCATACGGCAGTGAGATAAAGAAACCATTAATGAAAGCAAAATAGATTTTAATTACCAGGTCAGTGGAAGTTTTGTGGTGATCTGCTTTGGAAAGAAACTAGGGAGTAATCACGTGTGTAAAATTTAACTCTCACTTTGGTTTTCAGCTGTATTCGCTAAATAAATAAATGCGAGAGTCAAACCTCCTTCTGAGTATGGATAAGTGGTCGTCAATAAAGTCAAGTTTTTTATAAGTGATTAACCCATTAACGACTTCATATCATCCCATTTGACTATCGCCAACGTAATTAGCGACTCTACACTCTAAGGGGTGCATTGAATTTTTCCTTTCAAAGCAAATCTGTTCAAAAGCACTGACATTTACTGTTTTCGAACACTATTCTAAAAAAAAAAAAGAAGAAGATAATAGTTTACAGTTGAATCTGAAATATTAAACAAAATTTCGTTTTTGGAAGATAAGATAAAATTTTAGTTGTTTTGTCGATACATTTTTTTCGCGACGTTTAAATTATTTCGTTATAACAAAAAACAATAAAATTCAGGTTTGGCCCCGAAAACAACAGTTGAGAACAAGAAATTGAAATAAGAATATCTCTGAAAAGAGAATGAATGAAAGTGATCGTTTGAAGCGGTGGGTTATCACCGAACGTGCGCCAAGCAATTGTGAAGGCGATAATAATGAGTGAGTGCAGATGCAAGTAAAGTGTATTTTTTGACTACAGTGTTGGTTTTGTTTTTTGTAGAAAACAAAAACCGGAACCACTGAAACTAGCTAAGTTTATTATTAAAGTGAAAACGAAAAATAAGCGAGACCCGCGAAGCTCGTTGCCGCATTATACAGTAACTTCTAACTTCGAGCCGACAACTAAATTCATTATCTCCGCAAGCGATGTCTCCAAAGGAAAGACGTTGTTGAGTAAGTACAAAATATTTAAAATTAAAAAAATATTAAAATCCATATAATTGTTAATGAAATCAAGAGGATATAAGGATTGATCCTTCTCTACTATCGTTAGAAACTGAAGAACTGAACTCTGACATATCTAAAATTCCTCCGTTATAGGTGCTGATCCATTCATTGTGTACCTTATACATCTTCTTTTAAAGTTACATTGCTTGTAAAACAACATTTTTCATTTATTATAAATTAAAAACATTTACATATTTCTGTTGCACTGGGGTCTTCTTCTTTTTTTATTGTCACACATTCACATTTTAAAGGAAGAGGAGGACACTTTGAAAATATATTAAATCTCTTAAGTAAAATTTAAATAATAATAGTCTTTCATTTAGTTTATCAATCTAAATCTAATCTAAATGTTGTTTATGCGAGCACTGGTAGCATCTTCATATTTTATTCTTAGCTTATATTAAGAGCTGGGTTACGCACGGGCGTGGGAAGCATCGCAAATTTTATATAGGATTCTTATACAAAAATAGAAATCGAAAATTAATTAAATATCATTTCTATATTTCTACTAACACTGGCTCCTTTTTCTTCTTCTTGAATTCCGTAGTCTTTAATTAATGTAAATCTCGGACCGTCCTTAATCGTTCTTCTTTTTCTGGATGCGAAGCATTTTGTTTTCATCGGCGCACTTAGTTGTTATTGCAAGCCTCACCTCTCTAACTGTCATTGTAGTGTATTTTGTCATAAAATGTGTAACGTCCGCCACCTTCAACGGATCCAATCGATATTTCAATGGTTTACCAATGTCTATGAAAGCTGGCGATGGTTTGCCACTGAGGTTCGCAGAAGCTAATGTATTCCGGTCAAATATTGCCATCAAAATTTTTCGCGTGATTGCCGGAGCATTTGAATTCCACTTGATTGACATTAATTTTTCTTTCGCGATTTTTGTACCATTCGGTCCAATAACCACCATACCGTTCTCATCAGCTACAAATGATTCTGGCAAACTTGCGAAATTTCCTGGGAAAGAATTTTCTAATCGTTTCGAATGACTTGAAAATACCTCCTTGATGGGATTTGTTTTTTTATCACTATCGACGGACAATTCACGAGGAGGCCAATCATCCGGTACATTTTTCATTTTCTTCAGAAGGAATTTTTCAAAGTCTGTTTCGCTTATCTTTACACCTTTTGAGAGCAGTCTTCGTTCCAAGCGATTTTTTTCCTCGACTTGATTTTGGAATCGGTTTTCATTGGACTTTAAGCTTTGATAAATATGCATACTAGAAGAATGCCAAGCTTCTAGATTTTGTAATATTGTCTCAATACGACCGATATCCATATCATCAAACTGTTTGCACAGTGTTATGTTCGCATCGCTTTCTATGGAAACTGCCTCCCTTGTAGGCGGCTCTGTACAATTTGACAGACAATCATGATTTTCATTAATGGCGTTGGAACAATTTTTATGAACTGCTTTCAACGGAACTCTGGGGGATGTAAGAACATCACTTGCAAGAGCATTTCTTTTGGTGATAATGTGCGAATCGACATCGCGTTGTCTTTTACTGCAGGAAGGGCCATCGTGAAAAGTTTGCCTATTGGCAAAGTCTGCCTCAGTGAGCAACGCATTGCGTTTTGTTGAATTTGCAGGCTCTTCTATGAGCACTGGCTTGCTTTTAGGCAATTGTATAAAATTTGATAGACTTTGAGAGTTTTCATTGACGGCATTGGAAGAACTTTCAGCAGTTACTTTTAAGGGCGTCCTATGGAACTTGAAGGGATCACCTACAGTAGCATCTTCTTTTGTGGCTACATATGTATCTATATCTCGTGATCTTTTACCGCACGGAGTGGCATTGCCAAGAATTTCCTTATTGGGAGCTACGCGAACTGATAAAGACTTCCATTCTTCTTCTTTTGGCGAAAAAGCAGTTTCTTCCTTATGAGTAGCGCTTAAATGTTGCTGATGAGATTGTTTGACAGTTGTTAAATTTAACGGAGACTCATTAAAAGCCCCTGTGGGAGGTTTGTTGGGCAAAGTGGTTATCTGCGATGTTGCATCGTATGATGCAGTTTTTGCCAGCGATTGCTGAAATGTTTTGAAAGTTGTTAGATTCAGTGGAGCGTCACGAAGGCTATTGTCTTGAAGAGCATCGATAAAATTAGTTCTCTGCGGTGTTGTATCGTTTAATGAAGTAACTTGTTCTTCGGCGGTTTGTTGATATATCACTCGTAACCTCTTTTTGAAGGGCATCGCGTATGGGCGACATTCCTTTTTTGTGATCATATCAATAGAGTTTCTTTCTTGTCGCTCTGCTGAATGTAGACTTTCCTTTATCGCACCGGATTCACGCACTTCTACATCAGGAATTTTTTTGGAAGTAGTTTCGTTTAAAGGAATCTCGTTGAAAGCTCTGTAAGAAGTTATCGCATTTGAACCGCGATTTTCAGACCCCATGGTGCGTGCGCTTGGGTTAAAACATGCGAAATTTTTTTGCATCGAAAGGTGCCAACTCACATTGAGTGTTGTGCTGAAAGGAACGCCATTCTTCCAATTTCCATCATGTGATTGTAAGTCGTTCTCTAGCACTGCGCTATATTGTGGTGTATTTGGTACATTTTTAGATATAAGATGTGATGCGTCCGTATGCCCATACGAATGTACACCTTGTAGCTTGTCATTGTGTGAAAGATGATTTTGAGAAATAGTGTTGCTTTTAGGATCCTTAAGTGGTGGCGTAATTTGCCCAACGATTCCATGTAGATTCAAATTCCGTGGATTTACATTTCCCGCAATAAACGGACTGCCGTTGCTCATTGCATTGCTAGTCGAAGCGGTTCCAGGCGAACTTATAGTTTGTGTCAAACGAAACTCTGGATTCATATTGTGTAGCTGGGCATTCATTCCAAATGAATTCATCATTTGCATTTGCAGAGCCGTGCCTTGAAAAGTTGCGGGCTGAAAATTAATTTTTAAATAAGTTTCTAAGCGCGTCAAGCTAATAGTTCCATTGAAATTTATTTCGAGATCCTCGGATACTTACGGCATTCATTTTTTCAACAAGCCAAAGCAATACGCCTTTTTATATGTTTTTAATCTTAATCACGATCAGAGAGATTTATGGCTGCGACCAGAGATTGCTTAAAAAGTAGTGTTGTTTTTTTTTTTTTTGCAAATTTATTGTGTGTGAATATCTTTTCTAAAAGTAAGATTTTTGTGTCAAACTGGATTTTAGAAAAAAATCTGATTATAAATAAGTAAGCAACGCTTTGATTGATACACATTCACAAATTACTTCACTAGTAGCTCCCTTTGAAGCTGACCAATTACTGATAATTTTCAACACTTAACTCGCTATTTATTATGTATTTTTTCGCGAAGTTCTTGTGTACACCTACTGATAAAATGAAAAGAATAAACAATATTAGGTTAACCAACTTGAAAAGGATAAGTAAGACGTTTGAATTGAATTTATTGCTTTAGTTAAGATTTCGATTTAAACTATGCTTGTTTATGTAAAGTATTTATATGAATTTCGTATTTTGCATTAGTTATCTCATTTTCGCGAATGCAATTGTTCTATCTATATATATATATATATATATATATATATATGTGCATAAATGTGTTAGGCATAAATTTCTTTTTCCATAGTCAACACTTTGCTACCTGGCGATTGCCGGGCTTTCGCCTTTTGTACATTGTACGTAGATCTCTTTCTTATCAATATTTTCGCTGACGGCAGACTACAATTGCACTGCTCTGATAGTGTTAAAGCAATGATTAGCCATATGAGAAGGTCAATATGTATGTAAAATATATTTATCTTTGATTTCGGTTATATTAAACTTCTTTTATTGCTGCCATCTAATTTCTTTCTTTCGATTACTGCACCATAATTGCAATTTATGCTGCAATATACTACTTTTTCGTTTTTGTAAAATAAAGCGAATTATTTAGTTTACAATGAGTAAGAAAGAATATCGAAAGAGTTGGCGCCAATCAACCAATCGTCGTGCTTTAGTTTTAATCTAACAAAATCTAAAACGAACTGGAAACGTTACTAATCCATCTATAATATTAAATTTCTGCAAACTGTTCATAAGGTTTACATAAATCGGACACACAAAAAAATGTAATAATTTGAAGCATACTATGATTAGAATACGCTGCCATGCTTACAGGCTTGCTGAGAACTCTTATAACATAGCAATCCGTTTAATGGTCTAGTTTTCCCTATTAATTTTGCCCTGCTGACCAAATGTCATCACAAAATGCCGTTACCAAAATAATGCTTACTTTTCGTAAAAGGCGATTTTAGAAAGTGAGTCAAATAAATTGACCAATGGGGTCCAATTGTAAGGTATAGGAGATTTTTTCTTTTAAATTTTCGATAATACCCCTTACCCTATCCAAACTTTGCATATTAAGTTATTCGAGAAATATGAAAACTAGCCAATTTTTTCTATATCACGGTTTTTCCTAATTGCGATGCTAAACATGGCTCAACTAAACTCATTGAAATCTCTCGAAAATTACGATCTGCGGGCTTCACTAAAAAAGCTACTATCAGATGAATGAATGAATGCGCAAGTAGCTTAGTATAATGCAAGGTAGGTCTATCTTTTGTCGTTGTGACCTTACAAACATTGGATGTACTCGACCCGTAGTGTGTACATAGGTACAGATTTAGCGAGTATGGTGAGAACGAAATGCATGTTTTACAAAAATATATTCTTGCGTCACTCTTAAGTGACCAAGCTGTACTTACAAGTGATCAAACGCTTGTGTTGAATACATTTGCCGGTAACTACTTGTTTAACGATATCCATTACTCCTGACATTTATGTTTAACATCTGTTTTATGATAGATTTGACTAAGAATTTATCCGGTTCGGGTACCTCGTATATACTCAAGTACTTATTATACGACCCTCTTAAGGTTTTTCCATTAAATTCATACAGCGTTCGCATTTTTAATAATTGTTACGCTTACCTAAGCGAACAGAGTGGAATTTCCATAATGTCTTCTATTGAAAAACTCGTAAAATATTCAAGCAGCTGCAAATATTTTTCATCGACATCAGTTATGAAAGTTAATTTCTGCGAATTCAATTTTAAAGTATGGCAAAGAGAAAAATCTTCAAAATAACTGAATTTTTAATACAGTTAGGTTTAGTTATAGGTTCACATTTTTTGTATACAGACTAAGAAGCCTGTGATTAAGTGAAATAACAGTTTAAACACTCTCGTTCTATACTTTGCAACGTTTGCTTTTAAGCAAAGTGAGCTTATGTAAAAAAGTTAGTTTGAAATATTTATAAATAAAAACACAAAAAAAAAAAAGAAACGGAAAGAAAAAATGTTTTTTGATGAAACTGCTCAAGAATATTGTCGAATGTCTTGGTTTTTAATTGAAACGGACGAAGGTCTATGCCTTGGTTCCAATAAACAGCCTAACGGCAAGAGATTTCTTGTAATTATTCATTCGATGGAATTAATTGATGACGAGTCGGACAATATGTATGTTGATCGAAAAGTTCGCTTTATGTGGAAGCAAGGAATAGTAGAAGGAAAAATCCGTTTGGCTTCCGATGAACGCGATTCTGTTGACAATGAATTGAAAATGCTGCAAGAGAATGAAGCGGGGAACGTTGTCAGTCAATCCCATAAGCCAAACAATTATATCGTTCAATATCGTCGAGGTACTGATACTATCATATATCGGATATTACGTGAAAAGGAGAGTGTCGAGGACATGCAAAAAAGCGTTATCTTGGAAGATGATATACCATACGTGGCAAAAATCTTGTATATGAATGAATCCCAGGAACTGCTATTACAAGAACTAAATTTGTTGAAAGATAAATGCTTTGAAGCGGTAAGTTTTTAGAAACCGAAAAAAAAATGCTCTTCGAATTAATTTGTGAAATTAAACTTTCAGACTTTCACCGAGTCTAGGGACAGTGAGAAGCTCGAAAATGATTGGCTTTTGATACAGTACAGTACCGGGCCCCTTAATCTCATCTATAAGATTATCAATTATAGTGATACTGTTTGGCAAAACGAAAATAAATTCAAGGACGTTGTAGCTTATATAACGGCAAGTGACGTGACATTCCAAGGTATCGTTTTAAGTAAATCCCAAGATTACGATGAACTGAAGAAGACATTGCAAGTTATTGAGAAAGTTGGCCTAACATCCGCCTTTCCACTCGATCCTTTTTCTGAGGCAAGTAAAGCAATGACGTAATTGAAATAATTCTTTTTCTTAGAAGCTAAAAGCATTTTCTCACCTTTTCAGTGTGCCAAGTCAATAAAATAAAATTCTATCATTTATATACATAAATAGGGCACTACGATGATGCCTGATCCGATATATTCCAAATAGATGATTATGAAATGAGCGGAGAAGAGACCACTAACCAATAAATACATTTATAAATGTGTTCTGATTATGATGATTACACGCTACTACTACTACTACTATTACTACTACTACTACTACTATCACTACTACTGCTACTACTTTATAAACTTTAATAAAATTATTGCATCTAATTGAATAAACTAAACCACATGAAACCACGAAGTAAAATATAAACTATGTTTTCATTAAAATTGGGACGATATGATGGCATTATAAATAAAATTAATAAAAATACAAGTGGAATTACTAGGGAAAAGCGGGAGTAAAGGACCTATATTGACTATACACAAATAGTTTTTTAATTTCTCGGCACTCAGTTTGCTGAAAAATGTTGAAGGATGAAGTAACTAGTAGCCTATGCTTGATAGACATTTTATTGCCAGTTATAAGAAGTTCATTTAAAGCAATCATTCTCTTTGATATTTGGAAGTTGTTTATATTTATTTACATTTTTGTTTTATTTATAGAAAGTTTTCGTCTTTTGGCGACGAGCAATCATATTCGAGAAGAGAAAGAGAAGGAAGAGAATAGCATTGACAGAGATACATGTGTTATAAATCCTTTGTGTGGAAAAAGCTCAGATGTATTTGAGAATCACAATCTGAAAGCGACCGAGTCTTTAATAGATTTGTCACGTCTCAGTGGCGGGAGCGATCGCGACGGGCCTGCTAAAAGTGATATTGTATACGATTATCAAGGGCAAAACAGAGAAAGTCAAAACTGGCAACAGCTCGACGCAGAAGAAGGCCAACGACAAAGATCTAAGTCAACTTCGTCAGTTTCACCACTTACGCAACATGACACTCGTGAGTTGGCAAACGAAGTTAAGGGAAAACAAAGAAGGCATACCGATACGAGACGTTCAAGTCGAAAGTCTATAAAGAAAAGAGAGCCAAAAGAAACAATACTGCAAGTAATTGATTACACGATAGGCGAAGATTTTGTGGAGACTCCTAAAGCTAAAGAACCTGGCCATAAGTCAGAAATATTAAGTTTACAGCCAACAGGTTGCGATATGTTACCTGCACCAGTTTTAAGGGACAAATGTGCCCGTATCGACTATCTTGAAGAGCAGGTTTTAATGTTACGTCAAGAATTGAGTCGCATTAAAGAGGAATTTGTACCCGTGGAAGACTTACTTCGCTTTAATTCGCTATCCGAACGTTTAAGGGAGCTGAATTCACTATTGTCCGATTTAAAGCATAATTGCAATCGTACTAGGTTTTCCGATTATCCAGATGACGAAGAAGCTTTGGAAAAGCATATACGAACAATAAATTTTGACAATCCACCTAATGAGGTCTCAACTTCTTCGCCCCCTTCGTCCCCGGAAGTAGTGAGAAAAGGAGAACCGGCTCTATTACCTTCAGCGCTTCCTACCGCTCCGGAAGAGAAAGAATGCGATTTTACAAATGTGCCTTTGGCTATGCCAAGAAATGAAAATTTTAAAATAGTCAATGATTACCGGGTTGATCCCGAAGTCAGGAGGCAAAGGCTCGATAAGCGGGACCAAGAACGAGCACAAATTAGGTGTCAGAATCATAAACAACAACAATTTCCCGAGAATGCAGAACCCCTAGGTATGCCAGAAAGAGTGGACAGCAAATCTAAATGTCTACGTTTCGAGTGGGATACTTCCCCCATTCCACCACTTCTGGATGTGGATCAGGGTCAAAAGAAAGCCACATCTCTACCCACTTCTACCCTATATGTGCCTGAAGCTGTGCTTACAAAGCGCACCTCTGAAGTTCAAACTGACCGACATAGGTGGGGTCCAACACGTAAGAAAACAAGCAAGTGCTCTCATCTAGACATCAGGCGTACAAGCGAATTTGAGCATCCAGATAGTAGACGCTCAAGCGATAAAGGACGTAAAAGTGAATTTGACCGTGAAATAACTTCTGAAGCTCAAACGGATCATCATAAATGGGGTCCGACACCAAAAAAAAGGACTACATGTTCCCATCTGGATCCGAGGCGTACAACCGAATTTGATGATGACCTACTATCGCCCGCAAGAGCCTCAAACGCTTCTCGTTCGAGAGGCCGTAGCTTAACGCAAAATAGAAACTCGGAAAATAGTCAAGAAATGTGCGCCAATATGAATTTACCTTTGCTCACATCAAATCTCCCTGAAGCCATCTATGACGTAATAGAAAACGTACAGCCTTCTAATATTGCCTTGACAATACTATTACAAATCAATAATTTGTATCACATCAATGTTTCAGTGATGCGTACTGGTCAATCGCTCGGTTGTCTTTATGCCACGGAAGAGTGCATTATCGAGGCAAATCGTCGGCATGTATTTGAAGACTTTCTTACGTTCTTTGTTGTCGACTCAATGAATACAATGGAACAAAAGAATAAAATTTTAAGTCATTCCTTTGACTATGTCAAAAATTAACAAGAGACTTTCTAGTCCAACAAGTGTGCCTGCGCACCTTTCTAAACGTTTATGTAATTGTTGCATGATTAACAGTACATTGTCTACATGTTGGGTGCTGTAAAATTGTATGTATATAATGTAGTATAAGAATGCTTATGTGAAATATGAAAGTGAGAGTGCGTTCTTCACACTCCGAGAGGGGGGTACAATAGTGCCTACAAAATATTTTGGAATAGGACTTGTAATTACACTAGAAAAGGTTTCAAAATTTGCTGTCAAATAATTTCCATAATCAATTTTTTAAATTTCTTCAAATACACAATAATCTGACTCGTCTCTTAGGGGCACTGTAGAGAGATGGAGAGGAGGAGAGCAATAATGATGCTGATTAAGTTACTCAATCAAGAACATTCATTTGCATACGTTTATTGACGTATGTACCCAGAATATGTGTTCAAAGCTAAGTTGATGCTTATGACATTCCCATCGATGCGTATGAGTCAATAGGGCAGTAATGTTTTAAATAGGAATACAATTATAATTCTGTATTAAGTACTCATGTGGTGAATGGTAATTCGGTCAAATTTTCCCATAAATCAGAGCATTAGTAAATGAATTAAATTCCAAACGATATACAAGCACACGTGCAATTATATTTGCATGTATAAACGTGCTTGCGGGTATTCATTGACTCATTCAGCCATGGCTCCAGTACATAACTGCGATGTACATTTTTCAATCTGATTCCTTTTGTTTCTACAATTTCAACTTTTATAAATCGCGCCAACATCCGACTGAATGGCCGAGTAGGCAAAGCGTCTCGACTAACCCACTCAATGGTCGTGGGTTCAAATCTCTAGTCCGACAGCGTTTTCCATACAGCCAATAGCATTTATATCCTAGTGCTTAGTCTTGAAACTTATTTCTCTGACTAGAAAATGTTATTAGAAATAATAATAATCATTATTACTTATCACATCAATATGATATCAAAAAGAATTTAGTAAAAAATGTCTTGAAATAAGACTCTGTTGGTCAATTCGCCAGATGTTTTTAATCTTCTTCTTTCTGCACATTGAAGTGTAAATTTAATATTTAAATATTTGATATTTGCTTTGAGCGAATGTCTTTTTACAATGGGAGAGGAGAAAGAACGGAAAGTTGGGTTCTGTTTTGCACGCAATTCAGCGACTTTTAGAGGCGTGACGAACCAGAAATAGTATTCAAATTTTTCCTCAAACTGCTTGATAATTTTGTTTTTCCGAGTCTTCAAAATATGCAGAAATTATAAAAAAAATTAATGAAATGCACAAAGCTACGATGATTAAGATAAAATAAATAGTCAATATTTACTGCGCGTTTTCATTAGGAGATTGTCCTGACTGATCAAGCACTCGGGTTTAACTTACTAATAGAATTTATTACGTAGAATCTGTTTTTATATACCTGCAAGTCTCGACCTAATTTTCTTATCTCTTTTTAAGCTTATTTCTAAAACTAGTCAAAAGCCGCCAAAATATATGTGGTTCGATATATTGGACCAGTCGCAAGGTGTGATATTTCAGAAACTTACGCTTTCTTGCGCTATTTGTGCGTCATCTGTGAGAAGCTTCCTTATGAACCCAGAATATGTTCAAGCTGCAATATATTTTCTAATTTTTATCGGAAATAAAAATAAAAATAATAAAAAAAACATATAGCAAATTTATATATGGCTGTGACCGAACCTTCTATACCCACGCTCTCTTCATTTTCGAAAAATTTTAAGAATTAAACTTCAGTATTTTATATTGAGTAGATAAGGATGAGTTTTCGAATTTTTGCAGAACAATGAATCGAAATTGTTGTTATTGCATCCGTTGTAGTTTGTGAGTGATGACACAAATCGATTTTTTTGCCTTTTGAAAACAGATATTTATTTCCTGTTCTATAGCGGGCGTGTCGTGTGTAGGTCCGTTTTCAAAACCAATTTGCGCGCAAATATATCTTAAGTTTAAGTCGATATCGTGATTTTTGCAGCTTGGTTTGCCAGACACCGATAGATGGATAGGGAGACGGCTGAACGAACATGCCCAGAACGATTTAAAATTTGATACTCGTGAAGAATAGGTATACTTTGGAGGATATCTGAAGCTTCCGTCTGGATGTAGCAAACGTTTTAACATATTGTGTAACGGATAGCTTTTCATGTGAGGTGTAAACCTGAGCATTTGTTAATTAGCATTTACATTAACATAATGTAGGGCTTAATAGTCCTGGGTGTGTAAAGAAATTTCGTAAGCAATAAACGTCATAAATATAGACCCGTGGGTTGGCATCCGAGGATAGAACTACTGGTATTAGTGAGCCGATCGGTATTGTTTTTGGACCGAATATGGATAAGATCATGACGAAAAACAGGACCAAGATGAGAAGCACCTTTACGCGATTGAAACTTATAGAAAGAAATATGAAAAAAATTGAAGGAATTTTTTCGAGATTGCCTCGAGTTTCGGTTCTATTTTGAGTGTGTATGCAAGCTGCAAAACTATATTTTAACCTTGTTCTTAATCGGTTAAGAAATGCTTATAACAAACTTCAGCGTTTTATTTTCATTACTGCAACTGTGACGATTCCACGATAATTGTGGGTTGAATTGATCCAATTGGATAGAAACAGTTTTGTTATCGAAAAAGACTAAATTGACAAAGACGGATGTTGCACGAAGTGTGAAGAGAGTCCTTTTGTGTTGTAACCAAACTACTACATTTGGTACTCTTCTAGCCACTTTTTATGCAATACTCTCCAGGATACTAAATGAAAAAGAAAATTCTAAGAGTTTAAAAGACTGACGTGTAATTATTAATAATGAAAAAGTCGAAAGTGGATGTAATTAATCCGTTACAAGATTTTGATTAACCCATTTAACACCGTATTTTAGTGTTGGTGAGATTTTTCCGTTTATATTGCGCGCATGTCGTCGCGGTTTACATATGAACCGAGGTGAACTTCTCTTAAACTCATAAAATTAAACTTAATTTGATTCATTTGACATCACGCTGAATAGTCCACATAAGGATTGGCTTTCATTTGCTTTGAATATAATGGTTGATGCCTGACCTAAAAATCTTTTCAGATTTATTAAACACAAAACCTTTTTCACAACTGTATGTTTGTTCGTATGTACGTGGGTTTGGGTGGATTTATGTACAAAATCTCCCTAAAAAAGAGCGAAGAAAACATGTTCAGTTTATTGGCCACAGATTTGCTTGTGCATACATTTATTGTTATTGTAATTGTAGAGATTTTACAATCATTTTGTAACTGTACCAACCTCCAAAAATTAAGCTAAATTTCATTGTTTTCATTTTAACGGCATTGCTGGCTTTGTTGCGGGGTTTTATACTCATATCCGTATTTTTTTTTTCTCTCTGTTTTTGTTCCTCTCGTTCTTTTACATTTTATTTGCAGTCTGATGTGCTATCATCAAAATTTATATGAATTTATTGACGATACGGATTTTGTGGTGAATTGAGTGACTAAGCGTACTCTGCTTTATGCAAGAGGATGTAAGTAAAAATGTAAATAAAAGACCAAAACCAATGCAAACCTGAACAATTTTATGGGAAACTGAACATTAGCTTAAAATATAGTCGGTGGCTGATGTCGACTATCACTGTGACTATGGTAACCTAAAAAGCAGGCTAATGTAACTAACCATTAATACATACATATACATGTACGTCTATTTGTTCGTGTAGAGTTTCATATTGAGGGTGTGGGTGTCAGTGTGCTTACAAGCAGACATAACATATACATATATACGTGCAGGAAGACAGACGTATAGATATATGCTTATGCGGAAAATAACAGATCCCACATTTTATGGCTGACTATTAAAAAACTTATATGTATATATATATATATATATATATGTGTGCGTGTGGGTATGCCCATATGTAGGCTAATGGTTATGTCGGTTAGTCACTTAATATGACTATACTCTCTATTGTAATATACACGTATGCGCACTTACATCTAAACGCAACGCTCGCCGGGTTTAAAATTTCCGGGATACATGTTTGTATGTTTATAACGAAATTTTTGCTCAAATTAAGTTTCTCGCCGGTATTGCACACTTTTTTTATGCATATCTATTGCTATAATGGCTGAATATCAATTACAGTGATAAGTGGCATAGAGACTGGCCTTAATTTATCAACAACATGTGGCCAGATAATGCATTTAATAAAATGAATGAAGAAATGTTTAAGATAAGCGTAAATAGACTTTCCAGGAAAATCAAGAAAGCTTTGAAACATATTTTCTTATTTAGAACGGGAGACGTTACGTCTGCTAAATTCATTATATAACCAAACGTAAGGCAAGTTAATGCTGGTGGCGGATGAAAATAGTTTAGATACTTATCTGCTAGAAAGCAAGTTGAAATATTAAATTCGGTCAATGCCGACCATTAAAAATCCTTTTCTCAAAACTGTCGTCGTAAAATTATGAAACAATTTTTCGCTACCACATAAAGACATCATTTTCGTGCGACCTTTATGTGGGAAGAAATCGAAGAGATAGACCGAATTTGTATAAATTATTATAACAAAGTACTATTCTGAGGCTGATTTTCATCGTAACGCATTGCAAGCTGAATTTTGCTGCAAATTTCCATATAAATGCGCCGTTATATGCGGAGAAGTCGCCAAAGTTACGTAAACCAGTACATTTTAAAGAGGCTTGTGCATGGATCAAAATATGTCATTGAAGCAAATTTCATCAAAATTTTTTGAAAATTTCTGCTTGAACGCAAAAGTAACGTACATGGACTAACATCGCATAGACAGGATTAGATCGATTCAGAAATAATTCTGAAGGGATGACGCAATAAACGAATTATATAATAAAACGCATGTCTATGTTAAGTCGTCCTAAGTGTTAGATGATAGTACATTGATCAAGAGTACATGGAAACCCTAAGCAATACTAACCAAAATTCAATTTTTAGAACACGTCAACACACAAGCGACCCCGGTTGAAATTTCAACACATTTGATATCTTTGCTTACGAGCTTCATCGTTTTTTGTGGTGCTACCTTTGTTCACTTCAAAACCATTAAAATTAGCTAACTTTCTGTATCGACCAAGCCTTGCTTTTTGATTAGAAATAAATCTTATCTACATTTAGCATTGGCTTGAACAGTGTTATGTAAATTTTTATTGTTGCATGTTTGGGGATTTTAAACGAGATCATACGGAGGCTGTTGATGCTGAATACGTCGATTCCGAAAATTATTCTTGATAATTAAAAAATAAAGTTGCAAGAGGCAGCTGACATGACGAAATGGTTTTCCAAACGGGCATCACATTTAGTCACGGTGGGATGAAACGCAACGTCGCAAGTCAATGGCCGCAATGGAATTGAAGTTCGAGCTAGCGCTGCCCAAGATCTGAGCCTCAACGAGGGTTATCTATTTGCAAATTCTAAAAGAACATTTCAGGGAAGAGGTTTTAGATCATATAATGAAGTCATTGTGGAAACTGAACCGTATTTTGAACATCTCGGCAGGTCGTTTTATAAGAACGGGGTGGAAATGCTAGAGATGTGTTTGACTGCTAATGTCGCTTTTCGATGAGATTATGTTGATGACTAAAGTCGAATTTTACAAAAAAAAAAAAAATGTTTTTCTTATCTAGGCCCGGAAATAATTAACTTTCGTTTGTACGTCCGTGCAAACTTAAAGTATGTTCACACGATATAAGCTCTTTAGAATTTACTCCTTTCCACTACCAATTTTCTGCTCTTTTTACCTATCATTAATTAATTAATTAATAATTTCCGACATTAGACGACTCAATATCGACATTTAGTCGACATACGAGTGCAAAAGGTTAACATAAACTCAGGTAGTCACAGGTATCGTAAGAAACCGTCGATGAGTGAGAGAAGTGAAAATTTGCT